ACCTTATCAAAAACGTTCCTGGTGTTGTGTTTTGTTTCATTTACACATATTTGAGTAATCCGTTATTATTAGTTTGTCTACATCTCCAAAGCTCAAACTGCTCTGTTCCACCTTGTGATGTCAGCTTCCAGGACTGAAATTATCCAAATGATTGATAGTTAAAGGGACAGTCTGGAATTTTTGGACATAGGACCTCATTTCATGTTGGAGACGTGTGGAGACACTTTTTAAAATATTCCATCCAGTCCTTGTATTTGCAGAGGTCGCTGGTGCTAGGCTAGTGCATGTCAATACAGGCCATAGTTATCCTGCCACTAAAAACAGTTTTACCCACTCCACAAAACACCCGAAGTAAATCTATTATTATGCCAGACTGCCGATGTAAATGTCTGTGTTGACAGAATAATGTTTGAAATAAAACTAACCTTTCATCACGTGAATCATTGCATGCTGAGGGACTATTTTCTCAGCAGCAGTGGAATTTCACTTTGCCGGTAAGGTGCTAGGTAATATCAGGCCGCCGCTGCCAAGCTTTCTATCAGGAAGTACAACTCACTGCTGCTGCTCAGACATAAATCCTTCAAATGCAAGGTTGGCTTTACTTCTAAAATGATTCTATCTACAAAGACATTCACAGTCCAGTGTAATAATAGATTACATTGCTTTGTGGAGTGGGTAAGACTGTTTTTAGTGGCAGGATAACTATGGCCATTGACATTCACTAGCCTAGCACAAGTGACCTCTGCAAATGCAAGGACTGAATGGAATATTTAAAAAAGTGTCTCCACACGTTTCCTACAGTCTGGCTAACTAGGAAATGAAGTCCTATGTCCAAAATTCTGGACTGTCCCTTTAAGTTGTATGGAGTTTAAAAACCCAGTGAAGCACTTCCTGTGTTGTTACCTGACATCACAAGGTGGAACAAAGTATTTTCTGTTTGAGAGACAAATTTAACCAGGGTCTGTGTGTTAAACATGTGTAATTGTAAACATAACACAACTAAAGCTACTGAAGATGGTACAGCGATAACTAGTGGAGTTTTTGTTAACACTTCAACAGTTTGATGAATGTATTTACAACTAGTATTAGCAACTGTAAGCATGATCTGAAATGCATTATATAGCCACATGTATGCACAATTTCTAACTACCATCTTCAGCAGCTGCTTAAGAGCATCATTAGCGGTTAGCTGTCTGACTGTCAAAAATGGCATCGCCCTTGCCCACTTCCACCCACCCAAATATGGAAACTTCCTTCTACATTAACCCAACTGTCTTCCTGAATGTTTGCATTATGCATCATGCAACCTCCAGCACTCACATCAATGTTTTATATGTTAGAATGAGAGTGATATGTTTGTTTTTGGATGTACCAGGGCTGTAGTCCTTAGATGACCACAATGTGTACTAGTTGACTTATCATTTTATTTAGATTATAAGGATTTATATAGGACAACAGCAGAGTAGAGACATTAGTGAGCAAGTTATCTGAAGATTTGGTTCTTTTGCTATTTAAATCAGATTAATCTTACGATTCATAAATTTGATCTGCTATTTGTATTTGTCAAATCAGAACTATTGTGCAGTTTAGGCATGTTTTGGCCCTTGTTAACATTAAGGTTGTACTTGCTAGCCAAATAACAGTTATGAAATTACCTCTACATAAGTCATATCTAGATTAAAAACATATTAAATGTAATGTTATGTTTATTATTTCAACTATGATTTAGTGAAATGAGTATTATAGGGTGACCAGATTTTCAAAATTCAAAACTGGGACAAACCCGGTTTTGGATGGTTGGTATAAATAAAACTGTGAATAGAGCATGTAACGTTGTCCATTTCTGACTCACTTGTGGATCAGTGTATAATCTTAGGGACTACTGTTGGTGCATTTTTTGTTTTATGGTCATGTTCAAGTGCTTTTTTCTCTATTTTAGCTAAACAAATGACAATGCGTGCCCCTCTACTGTTGGCAAGTATCAAATTGGTCAAAAATAGAGACACATAGGACATTTCTTGTATAAAAATGGAACAAATCACTGGTTTTGGTTAAATCTGCTGGCACAGGAGACACAGGGTTCAAAAGTGGGACTGTCCTGGGTAAAAAGAGATGTCTGGTCACCCTAGAGTAATAACAGAAAAACAGTATGCTTTAGATAACACAATGACCTTATCCTTAAGGTATCTGTATTTGTCAAAAGGCTGACCCATTGGTACAGACAGCCCCTCGTGGGTGTGTTTTGCCCCCAGCCCTCTCTCTCCTCTCTCTCCTACAGACATGCCTCCACCTTGATCCCCGTGAGAATGATCACACTTCTATTTTTAAGTCACTGCTTCAACACGCGCTACAATACAGCAGGCACATGATTTTCCCCTTACTGTGCATGTCATTCATTTAGGACAGGGGATTTCAGCTAAAGATTATTTTGAGTTACTGGTTACTGGTCCAACCATGCAAATAAATACAATGTCTATGTTTGCATGAATGTACATGCTGGGAAGTAACTGAACATGTATTCTGAAAACTACTTTTGATTAACTGTATTCTGGTACAGGTACTTTTTCATTTGGTAGTTTTGAATACAGTTCTTTCCTAAAATGAAAGGAATACATTATGGTATTTAATCATGTAATTTAGGCCTCAAACTGCACGTAATCAGTGAGAAAAACAGACAGCTCTGCTCTTGTGGTGAGTGCATGTGTGATTTTTCCATCTCCAATTAGTGATAAATAAATGCATAACAAACACTGAAATGAACATAAACCTGTTTTTAATCCTATTTATGTGTTTTTACTCTATAATTTTAGTGCAACTCAGTGTAAAAGTATTCTGAGTATTCAGAATACAGTACTCTGATTGGACCATGTATCACAATACCTTACCAAATACATTTTAAGGCAGATATTCTGTAACTAAATACATTTTCAAAGTATTCATCTAATCAATGAATATGAGTAATCTGCTTTCTGTCTGAGCACAGGTTTCACAAAAATTAAGAGAAAATCTTATGGATTATTTTAAAATGTATCGTACTAAACACAACAGTTAATCTATAAATACACTGATTAACTGAAGCACGTCACCAGGTACTTTGATGATTAGATTTCTTTTTGTGCGTATAACATCAGATTTAAATATTGGGTTACCTGATTATTCTAGATTCTAATTTTTACTGGTCATATAAACGTATCCAGTGTCAAATCTGCATTAGGGCACCATTCACCTGATTTATGCTCTACTTTCTATGTTTATAAATTTGCTTATGTAATCCTTCATTTGTCCAGTAGCTATTGTTCAGAAGCCAAATATATATATATTTTTAAACGAATTTTAGTGTTTTTTTTTTTTTTTAACTTGACATTGTTTAAAGCTTTTCTTTATTTGCAGAGGGTTTTATTAATCTTGTGTCTAACTTGAGTGGTCCATGGTAGAAAAGGCTTAATCATCTGGATAATGTTTTTCTAGGAATTGTGATATTTCAGTTAACCATACAGAAGCCATTATCATGATTCATAAGCTTCTAAGATTTTAATGGGAAATTATTGTTTTCCGGTCTTCAACTTGATTTGGATAGGAATTTTTGAGGGACTTGTTCATCTTCTTTGTTTGGCTTGAATTAGTTTGAATTAGTTTGAATTTTTTATAGAAAATTGTGAGGAACATTGCAAATTGCTGAAGCGGGGATCTCACAAGTCTTAGGCTGGCACAGAGCCTAGTGTATGTGCTGCAACCAAACCCCTTGGCTACATAGTGCATCATGCTGTATTAATTTAATCAGAGTCTAATTTACATATCAAAATACTCCTGAGGCACCGGAAATGTTTTCAAATGTAACCTAAATTCACCTGCAATGTCTCAGCCAAGGCTAACAAGCTAAACAGAAATAAAAAAATAATCTAGCTCTGCTGTATAGTAAATACATTTCCCTTAATAAATAAAGCATGAACAAACATTTAATTCATAATGAACTAATATTTTATACATAATAATTCAGGTTTAGTAATTCAATCCAATCCAATCGACTTTATTTATATGTAGCACATTTTATAAACATGACAGTTTCCAAAGTGCTACACAGACAAATTAATACAATAAAAGACAGGGAATTATATTTAAAAACGATAAATAAAAAGTGTTAAAATGCATAAAGCTAAAAATGACTAAACAATGAATGTAATAAAATAGATCAATAAAACGCACAGAGGACCACACAACTCATGCAATGTTAAAAGCCAGAGAGTAAAAGTGGGTCTTAAGATGAAACTTAAAACTCTCCACGGTGCGGTCTGTTCTTCGGACGTGGGGGGGCAGAGCGTTCCAGAGCTTAGGGCCAACCACAGAGAAGACCCTGTACCACTGATTTTAAGTCTCGTCATTGGCACCACGAGTTGGAGCTGGCCCTCGGACCTCGGAGAGCGCACGGGGGAGGAAGACTGGATGAGGGCCAGTCCATTCAAAAGCTTTAAAAACAAACAAAAATCTTAAAATCAACTCTAAATCGTACAGAAAGCCAGTGCAAAGACACAAAGATTGGTGTGATATGTTCTCATTTTTTGGTTTGTTTTGCTAATTAAGTAGCCTGAACCATTCTTAATAAACTATTTGCTCATTAGGAATTAAGTCTTTATTCATGCTTTGTTAAATATGCACTGTGTAACTTTTCTGATAGAGGGCTCACCACCTGCTTGTCTCCACTGAGATGTTATTGCTTTGGCTGGAATGTTTCACTGTAGGCCATTGACCTTATCTACGTGGAGACAAGCAGGTGAATACATTCTGCACAGATTCCACTTGACCTTTATAAATAAGTTTAATGCCATATTGTGGAATATTTGATTCAATGCAATAATATCTCCATGAAGAAACCCATGAAGCAAATCACCCATCAGGAAAGTTACACAGTATACCTTAAACCCTTAGTCGCACTTGTGATTTTACAGTAACTGCTTATAATAAATATACCATAATCGAATCTCCACTTCCTCTGTGTCTTGCAGCATCCTGTTCGCAGACATCGTGGGTTTTACCAGCCTCGCCTCCCAGTGCACGGCTCAGGAGCTGGTGAAACTTCTCAATGAGCTGTTTGGGAAATTTGATGAGCTCGCTACGGTGAGTTTAAATCTGAAATTGCAGTCATGGTTAGCATTAGGGTCAGCTCTTTCCTTTTTCCCCACTGATGGTATGCCATTGTCCAGGCTTCCGGCACATGCCACGCTAGCAGCAGCTTAGCGTGATGTCACAGTGGATACTCAGGCCCATATGATGCTTAATATGATTATCTGCTACTTCATTTGAGAAAGTTGACAGACCTCTATAATCTGGGTCAGATTTATACACACTTAAATCTTGCCTCGGCTGCGTTTGTATGGAAGGTCTGAATGCACAGACTTGGAGAGCAGTCTGGCCTGTGCCAGTCCCTCTCTTAGTTTGAGCAAGAAAAGATTTTAACTCTCCATCTGTCAATATTGTACTCTTTGTGATTACAGCACTAAAAATCTACTCAACTATTACTGTGAATTTTGCCACTCCAGTTTGCCAACTCTTTCAAACGCATCGCTATAACACCCCAAAAGTTTTCAATCAAACTTTTCTAATACAGTGTGTGATTGTGGAAGTGACTTGGCACGCTCTGGTCGGAAGAAGCTTGTGCTACTGTTTATGTAATCTGGCCTCTCTTATACACTCGGCACATGACATGCCCTTCAATCCACTAATCCACCGGATTACAACTCACTCTTTTCTGCTTTCATAGAAGGTTTCATGGTTCTTTGAGATCTCCCAGCACATGTTTTTTTTTTTTTTTTTTTTATAAGGAAATGTTTGATAATGCTACAATGAAAAGTGTAGAATTATTAAATCAAGCAAAACAGGATCGCTGTCTTGTTGTGCCTTGTTTAGAAAAAGTTGGGAGTTTGATTTTTAGCTGGTTGAACACAAAAATATGAAAAAATATAAATGCAAACAGACATCCAACTAAGCAATCTTTACCATATAAAGTATTTACAAAGTATTTTTACCAGGTCTTCACTGTCTATAAACAGCTAATGTTCCTGGAAAGGCCGTTGCTGATTGCAGACTGGCAGCCGTTCTTGTCAGCCTGTGCCAGGGCAGCGGTGACTAGAGCAGTAACTTTCAGAGGTCAAAAGCGGAGGTTTTGTGGCCACAGCAATGCTAACAACAACTAGCATGCTAACTGCTCACTTTATTCTTCTTTATTATTTATTCTTTCTTCTTCTTCTTCTTCTTTATTTTGACCTCAAGAGCGGCTTATACAATATACACTAGCGGTCAAAAGTCTGGACTCATCCTCTCATTCAATGTTTTTTTTTTATTTATTTATTACATACGGAAAACATCAAGTATATGAATTAAGATGTAATGGAATGTGATGGAATTATGTACCAAAGAGGGAAAAAAGTTAAATAACTCTGTAATAACTCTTTTTTTTTTTTTTTTTAAATATATGTTATGATCAAATCCTCAAATTAGCCACCTTTTGCTATGTCAAAAATGTTCAATTATTAAGGATTATTTCACTTTTTTCCTTGAAATAATTCCATACAAATGTTTGTGGTCTTGTGCATGTATATCAAAAGCAGAAAGTAGTAAACATACAGGAAAAAACATTGAATTAGTAGGTGGGTCCAAACTTTTAACTGGTAGTGTACCTGCACTACAGTCCCTGACAAAAGTCTTGTCACTTATCCATTTTGTAGAAACAAAAGCTTATAACCTGACTTTAAATTAATCGATTGGTTTTAGAAATGTCTCATATGAAAGCTAAAACCCTCCCAAATTATGCTCAATATACTAAAATAAATTAGCTTCACTGAAGAAGGATTGATCATTTAATGAACACAGAAAGGGCAGATTTTGGCAAGACAAAAGTCTTGTCACCTACAGAAAATTGAACAAATAATTTACTTCAAATACAAAAATATGTTGCATAACGTCAGTGAATTAAGTAGTGGTGCTGTGGGTGTGTATAAAAAGACCCCCAGCACACCAGACCTTCACATCAACTGCAACTTGACCTCTGACAACATGCCTAAGATCCACCCTGAGACCAAAGCGTTAATTATCAAGAGGCTGAAGACCAGATCCACTGCTGAGGTGACTGATACCTTCAATGTGTCTCAGCGTCAAGTACAAAGAATAAGAAAAAGATCTGAAATGACTGGAGATGTTTTTGGCAAGCCCAGGTCCGGCAGACCCTGCAAGACAACTGCTCGGGAGGACCGTTTGTTGATTTGAAAATCCAAGGCCAGCTCCTTTTCCACTGCAGCAGACTCCACCAGGCCTGGTCACCTCAAGTCCCTGTGTCAACCACAACAGTTTGTAGAATTCTGTCTCGAAATGGCCTCCATGGTCGAATCAGTGCACAGAAACCAGCACTAAACAAAAGGCAATTAAAAAACCGTGTGGCATTTGCAAGGCCCACAGCCTGCTAAAAGGATGGACACTGGAAAAGTGGCAGAAGGTGGATTTCTCAGATGAATCCTCAGTTGAATTACATCACAGCCGCCGCAAATATTGCAGGAGACCTACTGGAGCCAGCATGGATCCAGGATTCACCCAGAAGAGTTAAGTTTGGTGGCGGAAAAATCATGGTCTGGGGTTCCATCCAGTATGGGGCTGTGCGAGACATTTGCAGGGTGGAAGGCAATATCAATAGCCTAAAATATCAAGAAGTATTAGCTCCTCTTACATTCCCAACCATAAAAGGGGTCAAATTTTGCAGCAGGATGGTGCTCCATCGCATACTTCTATCTCTACATCAAAGTTTCTCAAGGCGAAGAAGATAAAGGTGCTCCAGGACTGGCCAGCCCAGTCACCAGACATGAACATCATTGAGCATGTCTGGGGTAGAATGAAAGAGGAAGCATGGAAGGCAAAACCAAAGAATCTTGATGAACTCTGGGAGGCATGTAAGACGCTTTCTTTGCTATTCCTGATGACTTCATCAACAAATTGTATGAATCATTGTTGAACCTCATGGATGTAGTCCTTGAAGCTCATGGAAGTCATACAAGATATTAAATATGGATCTCACAGCACCACTACTTAATTCACTGATGTTATGCAATATATTTTTGTATTTGAAGTAAATTATTTGTTCAATTTTCTGTAGGCGACAACATTTTTGTCTTGCCAAAATCTGACCTTTCTGTGTTCATTAAATGATCAATCTTTCTTCAGTGAAGCAAATTTATTTTAGTATATTGAGCATAATTTGGGAGGATTTTAGCTTTCATATGAGACATTTCTAAAACCAATCGATTAATTTAAAGTCAGGATATAAGCTTTTGTTTCTACAAAATGGATAAGCGACAAGACTTTTGTCAGGGACTGTAAGGCAAAACATAATTTGTTCTCAGATTTGCAGGATGTCATCCTAATGGTACGGGTGTGTGCAGTGCCAAGAGCACTCTGATAAAGCAGCTCTGTGAAGAATTGGAGCTCAAAACTCATTTGGACCAAAAAACAGGGACTAGTATATGTAAAATCAGGTACAGCCCCCCCAAAGCTCACTGGCAAATGGCCTCTTTGCCCAAAACTGATTGTCTTGCATGAACACATTTCTTCTGTTCTGATGATGTTTATGTCTTGTTTCAGTATGACTTCAGACACGTTTTTGCTGAGCTGTGCATTGGGATTGTTGTGGTTTCAAAACGATCCAAACTTGTCACTGAATGTTGTCGTACTCCCTGCCCCGACGCCCGCTCTGTCACATACACTCGGGCAGGAAGTGGCAGGCTGCGGTCAGAGCCTCTTCTTCTGCGTACATACACACATAGAGCAGTCCATACACACACAGAGCTGAACGGCGCCCCCACACCACCTGGCTGCTCTCCGGGCCTGCAGGCAGACCGGGATGTCCGCCAGGAACCCGCTGCTCGCCCGCAAACAGACGACTAGCCTTCTCTCTCTCTTCCCATGTTTTAATTCACACAACATGGAGATCTAAAAGCACAGACAAACAAACTGGTTGGAAAAAAATGTCATTTACCCTTCTGGATATGGTTTAAGAAGAGAGTGGCTTTAAAAATCTCGTTATTCAAAAATATGGAAAGAGCTGATGATGCAATTTTGAAATATTTAACAGGTAAATGATCAAGTAGTTAGCTAGGATAATATTAGTAAGTAATAGTAATAATTAATTAACTCAGATAAATTCAGTATTCCGTTTGTGAATTGTAATTGTATGTCAGATATTTGGGCTTCTATGTGTTAAAATAATTGGGGCACAGTTAGTGTAGTAGTCTATAAAATACTGAATCTACAGATTATAAAATAAAAACAGCTACACAACAAACAACAAATTGATGAAACAGCAAAGCAATAAAATACTGAAAATGTCATAGATAGATAGATCGTTCCTGTGAAGTCCCATATTTTAACTAATGGAAGTAAAGACACTACTTGATTTTTATCATCTTAAAAACTGGAAAAACAGAACATTTTCATTTTAAATTCATTTTAAATGGTTTGCAGTGGTACAAAGTTATTCCACACTTTCTTAATGAACATTTACCTTCCTAATTAGTCACTGCAATTATATATTAGTATAACTTTTCATAACTTTCAGAGGAAACAACTAGCATGTTAACAGCACACCATTACTTCCTGATTCACTGCCATGGCCAATAAAATGCTTTTTTAGATGCAGACAAAACACAGAGGTCTCATTTTGACCCTACAAGCTTCTTTTACAATATACTGTACTGGAGCAAGACACTTTTGACTTTATTACATAAAAAAAAAAAATAGGTACAGCATCTTTTATTCATTGTTTTTGCTTGCATGTTTTATTTCATACACACTCATATGAAACAAATACAATGAACAAAAAAGTGCTTCTATGCAGATTTGTCAAGTACCTCCAGGCTTTTCTGTTTGACTCTTTGTTCTTTGTCACTACCCCCAGTTCTGATTGTAATTGTGACTGTCCACTTTGTAACTTTCATGTCCACAGTGCATCTATTCAAACGAGGCAAGATCAAAGAAAAAAAGAAAAAAGCAGTATCCCAAAACTAAAACAAAGCACAAAAGATCATTAGAGGAGCTAGTTTGATAGCAAAGGCCAAACAATAGCCAGCATTGAAAAC